CATATGAAAATATGCTCTACGTCACTAATCATCACGGAAATGCAAATTAAAACTACAATGAGATATCACCTTACACCAGTCAGAATGGCTAAAATAAAAAAGACAAGAAATAGCAAGGGTTGGCAAGGATGTGGAGAAAAAGGAACCCTCATGCACTGTTGGTGGGAATGCAGATTGGGGCAGCCGCTGTGAAAACATTATGGAGGTTCCTTGAAAAATTAAAAATAGAATTACCATATAATCCAGGAAATCCACTACTACATATTTGCCCAAAGAAAATGAAAACACTAATTTGAAGAGATATATGAACCCTTATGTTTATTGCAGCATTATTACAGTAACCAAGATAGGGAAGCAGCCCAACTGCCCATCAATAGGTAAATGGATAAAGAAGATGTGACCTATGTGGCTGAATATTACTCAGCCATAAAAAAAGAATGAAATCTTTGAGATCCTGCCATTTACATCAATACGGATGGACTTAGAGGGTATAATGCTACGTGAGATAAGAGAAAGACAGCTACCATATAGCTTCACTCATATGTGGAATTTAAGAAACAAAACAGACGACCACAAAGAGAGTCAAAAAAAACCCCAGACTCTTAACTATAGAGAACAAACTGTTGGTTGCCAGAGGGGCAGGGGCAAGGGATGGGTGAAATAGGATTAAGAGTACACTTACTGCGATGAACAATGAATAACGTATAGAATTGTTGACTTAGTATAGTGTATACCTGAAACTAATATAACACAGCATGTTAATCATACTTTAGTTTTAAAAAATGGACATAGGATCTGAATAGACATTTTTCCAAAGAAGATGTACAGATGGCCAAAATGCATATGAAAAGATGTTCAACATTCATCATAAGAGAAATGCAGACAACATGGGGAGATGGGTGTGGGGAAATTGATGTGAAATGGAGAGTGATTGCTAATGGGTGTGAGGTTTTCTGGAAGGTGATGAAAATGTTCTAAATTTGATTGTGGTGATTGTTTGTGAATGTACTAAAAACCATTGGATTATATATTTTAAATGGGTGAATTGTATGGAATGTGAATTCTGTCTCAAAGCTGTTATAAAGAAAAGGCAGTGTGCATGCACACACACACACACACACACACACACACACACAAATCTCAACGAACTGTGTCTACACGCCTATTAAAATGAGTAAAATATGCAATGCACATTGACAATACCAAGTGCCATTCAGGATGCAGAGCAACTGGAACTCTCACATTGTTGAGAGAATTCCATTTTGGAAAACAGTTTGGCAGTTCTTTCTAAGTTAAACATATACCATCCTACCCATCTATCCTACCCTTGCATTTTACCAGAGAAATGAACAGTCTCTTCTGTTCACACAAAAATTGTATGTGAAGTCGGTAGTTCCCTTATTTATAATCACCAAGAACTATAAGAAAAACCCAAATTTCTTTTAAGTGGGGAGTAGATAAAGTGTGGTTCATCTCTACAGTGGAGTACTTCTCAGCTGAAGAGAAATGAAGAGGAAGGAACTAGTGATCCATATAAGAACATGGGTCAATCTCAAATGATTATGCTAAATGAAGAGAGCTACAACTGTATCCCAGTTGTATGACACTTTGGAAAGGGCAAAACTGTGGAGAACCAATCTGTGGTTGCCAGGGCCTAGGGTTAGAGGGTGTCACTGAATGCAAAGTGACATGAGGAAGTTTGGAGGAAGTTGGAACTATTCTGTATCTTCATTGTAGTCATGGTTATACGACTTAAATATTTGTCAAAACCTTACAGAACTGTTTACTAAAAAGGATGGATTTTACTGTATGTTTTTGTTTTTGTTTTTTTTTAGTTTTAAGGATTAAATAGTTTTACCTTAGGTAAATCATTTTTGTGTTTTTTTGTAAGTATTCATTAAGGTGTCATGTTATGTCTAACAAGATTGTTCTGTATTTTTTGCCTTTATTAAATTTTTTTTCATGTTTATTTTTGAGAGAGAGAGAGAGAGAGAGAGAGAGAGCGAGCATGAGCGGGGGAAGGGCAGAGGGAGACACAGAATTTGAAGCAGGCTCCAGACTGAACTGTCAGCACAGAGCCTGATGCGGGGCTCGAACCCATGAATCACGAGATCATGACCTGAGCCAAAGTCGGATGCATAACCGACTGAGCCACCCAGGCACCCCTGTATTTTTTTGCCTTTATACTTTTTTGTCTGTATACTTTATACCTTATTTGTAA